AGACAGAGAGACAGAGAGACAGAGAGACAGAGAGACAGAGAGACAGAGAGACAGAGAGACAGAGAGACAGAGAGACAGAGAGACAGAGCGACAGAGAGACAGAGAGACAGAGAGACAGAGAGACAGAGAGACAGAGATACAGAGAGACAGAGAGACAGAGAGACAGAGAGACAGAGAGACAGAGAGACAGAGAGACAGAGAGACAGAGAGACAGAGAGACAGCGAGACAGCGAGACAGAGAGACAGAGAGACAGAGAGACAGAGAGACAGAGAGACAGAGAGACAGAGAGACAGAGAGACAGAGAGACAGGACGAGAGACAGAGAGAAGTGTACCAGAGACAGAGAGGAAGACCAGAGAAGAGAGACAGAGTACAGACATAGCAACGGAACAGAGAGACAGATGGACAGAGGGACAGACAGACATAGATACAGAGATGAGCTAGGCGAGAAAGCTAGGAAAGACGAGACAGTAGAGACCAGAGATACAGAGGGACAGACAGACAGAGAGACATGACCGCACAGAGAGAGACAGAGAGAGACAGAGAGAGACAGAGAGAGACAGAGAGAGACAGAGAGAGAAAGAGAGAGACAGAGAGAGACAGAGAGAGACAGAGAGAGACAGAGAGAGACAGAGAGAGACAGAGAGAGACAGAGAGAGACAGAGAGAGAGAGAGAGACATAGACAGAGAGAGAGAGAGACAGAGAGAGAGAGAGAGACAGAGACAGAGAGACATAGACAGAGAGAGAGAGAGAGAGACAGAGAGAGAGACAGAGAGAGACAGAGAGAGAGAGACAGAGAGGACAGAGAGACAGAGAGACAGAGAGACAGAGAGACAGAGGAGACAGAGAGGAAGAGACAGAGAGACCTGACAACCTAGAGAGACGAGAGAGGGACAGAGAGACAGAGAGCCGATATGACAGAGAGACATAGAGACATATATACAGAGATACAGGGGAGAGACAGAGATGACAGATGCCATAGATTACATATATACATAGATCATATATACATATATACATATATACATATATACATATATACATATATACATATATACATATATACATATATACATATATACATATATACATATATACATAGATAGATAGATAGATAGATAGATTGTATCGCTACGTGCACCCCTGGCTCTACCCCTTTCGCTTCTAGTAATTTTCTCTTATAGCGTCGTTGCATTTTAAACGTCAAAGCAAACTTCCCCCTCGTTCTCCAGAAACATGCTCAACTGCATCTAGTACCACTAGCTATTTGGACGCTTTGGAAGGTAACTAGACTTACAATGATTTGCGTAGTGTGCAACGTAACATGATGTTTCAAGAAGAAAAGCAAATCGTGAGTGATGACACAAGCAAATTATATAGTCTAAAGGTTTCTGCCATGGCTTTGTGCGATCTTTGGCTATGAATGGGTCTTCGCATCCGCAACATATCCAGGCTCTTAGAACGATCGTAATATACAAATTTGTCCTGGTCATCCCTTGCGCAAGTGCTCACCATGCCGTGTCGCTGGGATGGTTTTCATTGGTACAGGTCGCTACAGTTGTGACCCCATATTTTGAGAGCTTTTTATCATATGCAGACATCCACCAGTATTAAATGTTAAATGTCTATCAGCAGATACAAACACACAACTGGTCCGAAACTGAAAGGAAGGGCCAAAGTCCATGTGCTGTCTCAGTAGACTACCAGTGAAAGAGGATGTCAAACCAGGGAGTTCGCACAAGCTAAAGATTGAAGCAGATTGCTTTGCGATGATGGTGTCCATTTTGAAGCATTTCTTCTCCTTCATGCAGATTCAAGTTCTTTCAAGTTACAAAGATTTCATTCTCGAATGCAAAAGATCTTGTATTGTGGATGAGCATGAGAGTTCTCAAGCAACAAGGATATGTGCCGTTACTGCTGTTTTCGAGGACATTTCAATTCCTGGTGTTGTTGATATCACATGCGTATTTCACACAGATGCTTATGATCAATAGACACAGACATTGCATATAATATACTGTACCAGTAGTGCCGCACAAGGCTGTGGCGGAAGTTTCAAAAATAGGAAATCTATAGGAGAGGTTGGTTGTTGTGAATCACGGATGGCAGAGCGCATCCACTGATGGACCGAAAGGTGGTTGGAGTTGTGATTTTTGAAGTGGTTGCAACGGTTGCAGCGGTCACCCCACCACAACTGCTGGATGTAGTGTGGTGTAGTGTAGTTGTAATTGTAGTTGCAGTGTAGCGTAGTGGAGTTGTAGTTGTACGTAGTGTAATTAGTGTAGTGTAGTTGCAGTTGTAGTTGTGGTGTCGTGTAATTAGTGTAGTGTACTGTAGTGAAGTGCAGTGTAGTGTAGTGTAGTGTAATGTATCTATCTATCTATCTATCTATTTATCTATCTATCTATTTATCTACCTACCCTGTTTGTCTGCCTGCTTGTCTGTCTGTGTACCTGCAAGCTTGAAAACGCAGCAATTCTGCGAGATTTCCTCAATTTTTGAACTTGACAACATCGAAAACGAAACAATTCTGCGAGACTTCCTCAATTTCCAAGTTAACAACGTCAAAAACGAAACAATTCTGCGAGATTTCCTTCAAAAATGGAAAGTTGACTGCAGAGCTGACGGCCTCGTGCCAATGCGTTTTGCAGTTTTTCCACTCCATCTGTCTAAAGGGCTGCGCCTGCCATGAAAAAGTGATGCCAGGTCATACGAAGTGCTGCACCTGTCACGCAAGATCACCTTCCCAAAACTGAAGATCTGATGCTCCAAAATGCAACCCCTCTCAGGAAATCAGCGCCCGGGCCTCCTAACATCTCTGATGAACATGTCTCTTGTACTGCGCCTGCCACGCGAAATGCATCTTTGCAGATCCTCTTCAAATGTTTCACGCCTGCCAACGTTTTCGAAACTGCTACGAAACCCTCACGTTTTGCTCAGTTTTGACAAAGTGCATAATTCCTTGCGCCTGCCACGCGAAATGACATCTGAACGTCCAAACGTGGTCCGAACCCGTCAGTTTTTTGCACTTTTGGATTCGAAATGTGCTTCGCGCCACAACGGCGTGCGCTTTTTTCGACATCTCAACTTCCAAAAGTGCTCCGAACTTGGTGTGTTTTGTGCATTTTCACTTGGAAATGTGCTTCGCGCCACAACGGCGTGCACTTTTTCGACATCTCAACTTCCAAAAGTGCTCCGAGCATGAGGTGTTTTGTGCATTTTGACTTCGAAATGTGCTTCGCGCCACAACGGCGTGCAATTTTTCATCTCTCATCTGGCCAGCTGGCTCCGCACCCGCCGCTTTAGCGAGCCTACTTCTCGACCCGGAGCCACAAATCACCGGAAAAACACAGTGTTTTGCGACTTTCCTACCTTTTGGCGCGCCTGGATCTTCTTTCTTCGGAGACTTTCTCTTTTTGATCTTCTTTCTTCTTCGCTTCTCTTCTCTTCTCTTCCCTTCCTCTTCTCTTCTCTTCCTCTTCCTCTTCCTCTTCCTCTTCCTCTTCCTCTTTCTCTTCCTCTTCCTCTTCCTCTTCCTCTTCCTCTTCCTCTTCCTCTTCCTCTTCCGCTTCCTCTTCCCCTTCCTCTTCCTCTTCCTCTTCCTCTTCCTCTTCCTCTTCCTCTTCCTCTTCCTCTTCCTCTTCCTCTTCCTCTTCCTCTTCCTCTTCCCCTTCTCTTCTCTTCTCTTCTCTGACTCTTCCCATCTCTGTTTTGCATCTGTCCATATTGTCGGAAGTTTGACTTCTAAACTTCCTTCGATGATTCATTTGCGATTCATGTATAGTTTATTTGCGTTGCTCTGTTTTCAGCCTCTTTGCTTTTAATGGTCTAAGCGGCCCAGGCGACAACCGAATCATGCAGTGGTCAGACCAGGTCTTGCCACTGTATCGACATCTTTGCATTTACAGATCTTGGTTGTGTTTGAGTCGCATTGGGATCTGATGCTTCAGGACAACATGGCTACCTCGTTGTTGAACTTGCTGAAGCCCAAGCAGCACAAAACATCCCTTCGGAAAAAGGCACTCGGTATATCTCGGTATGCGCAGCGAAAGAAAGATTATTCGTGGCCTTCCCAGGCTTCTCTGTAAGCAAGACCGAAATGTAGTGTCTGTAGACTGTATCCAGCTATACAGTTGGTTGATAAACGCGGCGGAGTTGTTCTGCAGGACCAAATCGCTTGTTTGTTGGCATCAAACACGGAGGGTTGTCTAGACGGAGGATTGGTTTCTTGAAACTGTAAGGCTAAAAGTATCTTCAGTCACAGCAGTTCAAATTTTAAGGCGTGTGCGTGTGCTCGCGCATTGGCGCGTGCTTGTATGTGTGCGTGTTGGTGTGAGTGCGTATACCACGTCAAAGGATCTAAGACTTCAGATTCTATGCGATTATTTTCAATGATTTTTTCGGCAGTTTCATGACGTTAGGTGAAAGTATCTGGGAACTGGAGCTGATTTGCCTATCCAGTCCAACGAAGCCATGGCTTTTCGATGCATGAAGGGTCTGATTTATAACTTGTGCATGCTTACATAATTTGATGCGGTATGGAATGAGACTGACCCAAAACCTCCTTGCTTGGACATATTTGGTTTATCCCGTTTGGTGCCCATGCGGCATGATCAGGATTTCTTGGATTCATAGCTACTTTGAGTTTGCACTCATGTGCACAATGCCCAGCACAACCTCAGAAATCTTCTTATTTTGTGATTTCGAATGCCGCCCGGGCACCCAAGCAAATGCTGGAGAGAGATTATCTCGTCGTTCTGGTCAAAGCCTTGTTTTGGAAGGCTGAGTTCTGAGGGCAGGCCAATATGAAAGTGCAATGTGTAATAGCCAGAACAAAAACCAATGGACAAGCAGTAGCTAAATTGCACACTACGGCACGCTCAGCAGCTTCCCAAACATGGAAGACATTCAGCAAAACCCATCCGGCCCATCCGGTGCATCCCGGTGCATCTTGTCTCCTGAGGATTTCTTGTCTTCTGAGGATTGCATGTTTAGCTCTATATATGCCAGCTGTAAAAGCCTCGTGATTGCCCTGTGATCGGGAAAACTACTTGGATACTTTTGCTTCACCTTTTCAGATAAAGACTCCAAGCTGAACTGAAGGAATGCCACCATCACGCACTTACTGGCGCACCTGGTCCGTTGGAAAGACATGACCCGACTTCTAATTCTTCTTGATCTACTCAATGCAAACAACCTCTTTCGGGAAGCCCTCCCTAACTATCCTTGGAAGTGTCCGCATCTCATCTAGGCTCTATTTGTACCGCATCAGGTATTGCTCTAGAAAATATGACGCAAGCAGATTATTTTCGCGCAGTGAAAAACATTCTTTGAGTACTTGAAGTCTGCAGCATTTTGTTTTGTGCACATGAGTTCACTCCCCGTTGAATGCAATTGACTCTACTTGTGGCAGGTCATTGCCTGTATAGGAGCCCTATCAGCAGTCTTGGCAGACCGTCAGCTAGACACTCTCATGAGGACAGCCTTTGAGAGCTTGTGGCAAGTAAACACAGCAAACATAGAGTTCATTACACTTCCAAACTGGCAACTTGCTCACAACTTACAACTTATAATTTACAAACAACATGCTCACAATATCTCACAACTGACAAATTGGCTGCTTCATCTACACGCATTTGTCTGCCAGGACGTTGCTGGGAGACGTCAGATCTGCAGGGTCAAAATCAGACAAGCAGAAGTGACCACGACTTGACAAACTTTGACAAACCGACAGACAAGCTTTAATAAATTTAACAAGAGGTATTACTGAGGTATTCGAACAACTGAAAGACGCTAGCAATAAGTAACAAAGACTTGCTGAGAACGAACCTTGCGCATAAAGAAAGCACAGAGTCTCCTTTGGACTGTTCATAACTGTTCCTCTGCAGGTACATTCAATGTATCAGCACTGTCAGCCGAAATGTTGGCGGCAGCCTGAGAGGGTTCACCCTAAAAGCAGCTCGCATTATAGATATTATAGCACAGACTGCTAACTTGAGGTTTCAGAATTGGGCAGCATTTGAAAGAGATTGCGCCCTTGTTCCTGCAAATTGTCAACCAGGCTAAGGAGTCAGTGTCAATTTGAAGCCCCACCTCAGTTTTTTGCTTGCTTTTGTTTGCAAAAAGGGAAGAAGTGGAATATGAGCGGCGATGCATCTCCACATAGTGCTGAAATATTTTTTGGATCTCAGTCAGAGAAAAGCACGCAACTTTTTGATATAATTGAAGTGCTAGGGATCCCTGGAGTTTCCAAGTGATGTTTGGAAATTATCGTAATAACTACCAGTTATTTCCCTTCTAGGTCTTTCCACAGTGTGTACTAAAAAATCAATTTGACAAAAACAACTGGATTGAGACAGCCAATCCCTTTGAGAGGCAACGCAGGAGGACGTCTCTATGGATGGTGACAACGAAAAGGACCACGAGGCACTTGCAGATGGAACATATCGGTTCTCTACACCAAGAGCACTTGAGGCATTGCGACAAGGAGTTTAGGCAGATTACAAGCTCCATCAAGCTGCCGTTCTCCCCGCATTGCCATTTTTGCCATTTCAAATTTCACCTTGGAGGTAGTTGAGAACTGCCTGAATGCCTTTGAGTGCTTTGTCTTGCGCAGTTCCAAAGAGGCATGACCTGGCATGACTTTTAAACTCCGTGGATCAAAAGAGAGGGTGCCAAGGTATTTGCTAGGTGGCTCATGTCATGGCCCGTGACAGCTCCATAAAATTGATTGAGATCCCAGAACTTTTTTTCCCCATTTTTTTTTGTTTTGCTTCCTACAAATTTGCATTGTCACCAAAAGTAGAAACACGCGAACGCGACATGAACTTCAACGAAATCGGAAACACTCTGCAGATGGCTCCACACTTGGACGAGCTTTGTGGAGTGGTCCTGACTCTCATCTCTTATGACCCGAACTTCTACGACTCAGGAGATGCTCAGGACTTCCCTATCATGCTCTCCCATCCAGCCCAATTTTATTATGGAATTACCACAAAATAGCCTTTGCGAACTACAAATTCTTCTAGGCTTGTGCAGCAGCTGCCAAGTACATTTATACCAAACCCAAATTCCGATCGACTGGCAGAAGCCAGAGGGCGTCGACATGATCAATGTACACTCTCTCCATTGATCTCCATTGCACACATATATATATATAATATATAATAAATAGATATCAGATATCAGTATGAAATATAGTCAATATATGATATGTATATATGTATGTACATATGGACACACACATTGTTACATCCAACGCAGTATGCAAACGTAGACATGGCTGTGTTGGTGTTGTCAGCCTTGATGTGCCCTGCAAAACTGATGTGCAGGATGCAGTGATGGAGGAGTTTGAAGAGTTTGATGAAGATGGCCTGGTTGACTCCGATGACGACGACAACTCCTGGAAAGTAAGAAGAGCTGCCTTGAAGGCAGGGACTGCAGGGACTGCAGGGACTGGTTACATAATCGGCGACTCTCGGCGAACTTCAAGAATCTTCGAATTCGAACAAGTTGTTCGACCTACCCGACCTACCCTGCCGGTGCAGCCGCACTCTGAGGTGCTTGAAGCGATGGTCAAAGGGCTACCAGACAGGCTGCGGCCGATGCAGCGATGCAGCTGTCACCAAATTTGTCTCAAGTCTTTCAATGTCTTTCATATTGTCTTTTTCATATTCGAAATTGTCCCGCATAACCACAACATGCCACAACCACACATTGGAGCATTTCCTTGGTTGCAGAAGACTTCGTTTTGTCTGGTCCAACAAAGTTCATGTTTGGAAATCTCAGCAAGCTTTCATGTGACAAGAGCCGTGTACTCGGAACGTTGAGTAAACTGATTCCTGGCTGCACCTGGGGACTCCGGGGACTCCACTAATGAATCACATTTTTTCTTCACTTCCGGACATTTCCGCACTTGCTCTCTTCGACAGCGAGATAGCAGCCACAAGGGGTGTCACTTCTACTCAGATGGAATGCTGGGCCGAGGGCCAGGGTGTGAGAGTTTGGTGCTTGCGATTGTGGCATGGGGCTGGTTTTTCCAGTGCTTTTTCAGGATTTTTGTCAAAGCAGTTTTCTCTTTCATTTTCCTTGACCTCTCTGCAATTGAGTGCCGGTCGAATTTTTATTTCGAATAACAAACGTAGGCTGTGACTGAAAGTTTCTAGGGTTTTGCTTCAAAGTAAAGTTTTTCCTTCAAAATTGTTTTCTAGTGCATTTTTATCAAGTACTGAGAGTTTAGCGATTTACTACCTCCTGCGAATGGGTCTGCGTTTTGGCAACTTTCCAAGTCTCAAGTAATCGTTCCAGACATTTCCCCCTGACTTTAACTACTGCTCGCTTGATCTGCGGAATTGTCTTGTTTGTGTTTCCATGTTGACTCAAAGCTTTTGCTTCTACAATTATGCTTCGAATCTATGAACGACTCCGCAGGTTAGATGAGATCTACGCCAAGTTTGCGCAGCCACTGATCAATCGCTTCAACGAACGACCGAGCCCAAGCAGCTTTCTTTGGCCACAACAGGCATCGCACCGTCGCACCGCCAAGCTTTTTCTGCAAACTGGCAGGTGAGGAAAGCGTCAAGCTCGATGTTTTCACAACTTTTGGAGAAATGGCACAAGCTGCTGTAATCAAGGTTTGGAAGCTTTGTGCTTGTGGAATGTCAAGCGTCATTAATGCACATGTATATCGTATCTATATATGTATCTATTATATATATATAGTTATTTCGTATAAACGTTTCATTTGGACTTTGGTAATGTGGCTTGTCATGCATCACGGCGGCTTGTCACTTGTCCCATGCTCCGTCCTTGTCAGACACAGCCTTTTCTGGTCGCATCGACTGGAGCTCCTTCTGCGCCTTCATCCTCCGTTTTGGAGGCAGAGTCTTGCGTCGAAAAACCAGGACGTGTGCACAACACATCCATGGACTATATAATACTGTAGATCAGAATATGTGTATGCATATACACATACATATATATACATATCTTTTATTTTAAACCTATGTATATATACAAGAGTATGATACATTATTCCCAACAGCAAAGAGCTGTTGGGTTTCAATCTCTAGAAGCAGGGGTTGATATCGCGTTCTTCCCTTTTCGGTCATGTATGCGCTCTCCCACTTTGTCTCCCAGCTTGTCTCCCACTTCCCACTGTGTATCGCACTGTGTCTCCTACCTTGTCCTCTCCCACTGCGTGCCGCAGAGTCTTCCATCTGGAACCTTGGACCTTGTCTCGCACTCTGTCTCCCACTGTGCTTTCCAGTGTGTTTCCCACTTGTCACCCACCAGAAACCTGTGTGCCACTGTGTCTTCCACTGTGTCCATTCTTTGTCGCACCGTGTCGCCCGCCTGGAACCTCGGAACCTTTTCTGCCGCTTTGCCTCCTCCTGTTCCCAACATCATAAAAAGCTGTTGGGTTTCAATCTCTAGAAGCTGGGGGTGGTGTCGTGTTCCTCCGTCCTTTGGCAACCTTTGAACCTTGTCTACCAACTTGTCTCCCACTGTGTCTCCCAGCGTGCCCTACCTGGGACCTTGGTCCCCCCTTCTCTCCAACTGTCCATCCCATCTTGTCTCCCATCTTGTTTCCCGTCTTGTCTCCCTAGAAGAACCTTGGCCACCACTGTGTTTCCCACGGTGTTTTCAAAACCTTGTCTGACACTGTGTCTCCCACCTTGATCATCCCACCTTGTCTCCAACTGTGCCGTTGTCTTTCACTGTGTCTTCCACTTTGTCTCCAACTTGCCTCCCACTGTGTCTACCCATGTGTTTTCACTTTGTCTCCCACCTTGCCCCAATGTTTCTCCCACTTGGTCTTCCACCTTGTTTCCATCTCAAGCGAGGGCGGTATCCCGACTTCGCCCCCTTGAAAAACCTTGGAACCTTGCCTCCCAGTGGTCTTCCAGTTGTCTCCCACAACCCCCTGTTGTCTCCCACAACCCCCCAGATGTCGTTTACCACCTGTCTTACATTTGTCTCCCAGATGTCTTTGACTTGTCTTCCACTTGTTGTGTCCGAGTTGTCTCCCAGCTGTCTTCCGATGTGATTTCCCAGGTGTTGTCTCCCACTTGCCTTCAAGGTTTCTCCACTTGTTGTCTAGTTGTCCTCCACTTGTCTCCCAGCTGTCTCCCAGATGTGGTCTCCCAATTGTCTCTCAGATGTGGTCTCCCGATTGCCTCCCAAGTGTCTTCCACTTGCCCCCCACAACGCCAAGTTGTCTCTCAGAGGTGGGCCCTAATAATTCCCAATTGCTTTGAACTGCTTTCCACTTGTCTCCCAGTTGCCTCCCAGATGTGGTCTTCCAATTGTCTCCCAACTGTGTCCCTTGAATTCGATACTGTCACTGCTGTTGGGTTGCAAAGCTGGCTTAATATAACTATGTATGTAGGACGGGTGATATGTTTTCAGGATATTTGTTGGTGAAAGTTTCGCTTGCAGGTGGAGCGTCCTGCGCCCCCTAAGGAGCTTTGGTAACAGCATGTGACATGAGAGAACTGATGAGAACTATGAACGCATCAATGCTGTGCACCCCAGCACCACAAAGACAGTTGAACTCAGTTGCGCTAAGCCCTCCGGCCCTGTGAGGAGAGACCGAATGCTCATCATTTGATCGCTGTTATGCCGTCATGCATATCTCAGCTGAATAAGCAGATGCGCTCAAAGGCGCAGTTACTGACCTGCGCTGACCCACTGTTCATGCTGCTGTGGTTATTTGGAGGATGTTGAATGACATTGTGACAATAGTATGCAAGAGAAAGGAACAGACCCACTAGTCCATGGAAAAGGAAACCTAAGCATTGTCGACCTTCCAATTCGAAGAAAAATAAGGACATGGCTTGACTCTATTTTTGGAATCCGTACTCGATTGAATGAATTCAAGGCAGCCTAAAACCGACTCGGACACAAATTCGGAGCGGGTCATGTATTTGTTGCCAGGACCGAGCCTCGATTTGTTTGAATTTCATGAAAATTCACGACCCCAGTAGTCTTAGCAGACATTAGCACCCTCTTACATAGTTCTGGTCTACCTTTTGCTTGTGCCGGTGCAGGTTCAGAACTTGGGTCCCCTACACAAGGGACTTCAGAAGTCCTGGCATTGGAGGATAGTTCGCTTCAGAACCAAAAAACACGAGAAACCAAAACACGCGATTCCGAAACCAAACCAGCGTCGCGTCGGGAAGCAAAACGGAGCCAGAAACCAAACCAAGAAAGATTCAGGCCCTCTCTGAGGCGTCTGGCAACTCGCAACTCGCTGAAACACGCATGGATGCTGCAGCAGAAACAGGTGCAACTGTGCAAACAAGGCAAAAGTTAGCTCAGCTGGCTGGAGCCTAACTGCAAGGGCCAAGCCGCTGAGCAACAAACGAACGAAAACCAGCACAAATGACTGGCGCATTGTGAAACTGGACCAGATGCCATATAGCTACTACAGCGTTCGCTGTAAAGCCCAAAGCACCCCCCTCAACACGCAGCGCTCAGCCCGACTCCAACCACTGGGCTGCAAACTGCATGTAACTGCTGCAAAGTGCATGTCACGGTCTGCTCAGAAACCAAAATGTTCCGGCATTAGAGCCTCAATAGCAAATCTTAGCAATGGTCCTATGGATTGGATTGTACATTTGTGTCTGGGACCCATATATAGAGACTCCTTTTGAGTGTTTTGAGAGGAATTTGATTTGGCCTTGGTCGTTTTGATAACACTCTGCTTCATTTGCCGTTTATACCGGGACGATCCTTGTGACTATTCTGGTCGCTTGGCGACGACAACCGCCTGCACCAGATTGTTAGCTTCGGAGTTCCAATAAAATTATATATGTTCTACGTTGGGCCTGTGTAGGGCTCATGGGAGTATGTTGGGCCCAGGGCCGATGTTGGCTGTATGTTGGACTGTGTTGGGCCCATGTTGGGCAATGTTGGGCTATACGGGGCCATGCTGGGCCCCTTGTTGGGCCCATGTTGAGTTTGATGAGTTTGTTGGGCCTATGGTGAGGCATGTTGGGCCTATGTCATATGTTGGGCCTATGTTGGGCGTATGTTGGGCCCATGTTGGGCCTATGTTTGGCCATGTTGAGCCCAAGTCTGGCAACTCAGCCTATTTGAGGCCCCTATCAAAAGCGCGGAAAAACAGGATTCTAGAGCAATACAGCCTACCCCGATTTAAAACTTCATAGCTATTGCAATTGCTTCCAGTTCACGCATGCACACAAAAATGCCTCGGCACCTTCGGAGCGGGCGGATTTCCTTGTAGATTCCCTTTCGCACATACAGATGTCAGACTCATCGAACCAAGCTCCTCGACCAGAAAACAAAACCAGAAAACTCGCATTTGCAAGAAAGGGAGGGCCGGGAGGGCCCTTATTTGTCTGTTCCTTTTGTTGGCTCTGTGTGGCTCTGTGTGGCTCTGTGCGGCTCTCTGTGGCTCTCTGTGGCTCTCTGTGGCTTCTGTATACTTCTGTGTGTCTTTCGGCTTTTGGCTTCTGTGGCTTGCAGCTCTTGGCTTCTGTGGCTTTCAGCTCTTGGCTTCCGTGGATTCTTGGCTTATGTGTCTTCTGGCTTCTGTTACTGCTTTTGCTTCCGGCTTCTATGGTTTCGTGTTTTTTTTTGTGGTTCCTTACCTGCCAGGTGAGGGTCTCTGGATTTTAACAAAGGTGCAACTCATTCGCATCCTCTTCTCCTCCTCCCCTCCTCTTCTCACCTACTTCTGTGCCAGCTTGCCGAACCTCATATCGCGAGCTCCGGACAGTATTGTCCCCTCGACCCGAACCTCATATTGCGAGGTCCAGACGCTGTGGGCTGGGCCTGGGCCCGAACAGAGAGAATGGCAGAATAGATGCCAGATAGAATGCCAGATAGAATGCCGGAGTATATGCCAGAAAGAATGTCAGATAGAAGGTCAGAACAAATATGCCATAAATACTTCCAGATGGTATGTCAGAAATTATGTCACAATAGTGTGCAAGGGCGGGGATGATTTGAAGTAAAGTAATTTTCGTTGGTTTATGGTTTCTTGGGTTACTGGTAGTGGCTTTTGGCTTGTGTGGTCTTGGTTTCCGTGGCTTTTGTGTTTTCATCAACATCCCATATCAACAAACATCCTATAACAACATCACCAACAACCAGCGAACAAGACAAGAGCAAGAAAAGAAGAGAACAGCAGTAAAATGTGGCCGAACGCCAGGGGGGGAGTCGCTGCACCCTCCCCCCTAACCCCCTCCAACAATTATTATTATATTAGGTTTAATCTACGCCGCCAACACCCATCAACAATCCATAACAACATCACAGGATGAAAAAATTAAGTGCTGAAATGTTACCTAAAAAAGCTTCCTCCAACTGCCAACAACCAACGTACAGAACAAGGACAAAGAAAACAGGTAACGCCAGCAGCATGTGGCCGAAATAAGAAAAAATGCTGCAACATACTGGGGAAATAAAACATTCTAGCTCCAACATGTTGCCAATACTGTGGAAATGTGAGATTTTAGTATAATGTTCCAAAAAACAAGGAGAACAGCCGCAGCCTCCAAAAGAAACACAAAATCCTAAAGAAAAGAAATGAAATAACTAATTCCGGGCCCCTAAAAAATCTACTCTTCGGATCTTTCATCACATTGCCTGGCAGCACTGCACTGCGTCAGGCTGCCAAGACTCGGCAGGGTGCATTAGCACTTTTGCGGATTTTGTTGACACCTCAATGGAATCACTTTCAGATGGACCTGCCAAGATCCAGTCCAGGACTGTTTTCAGACAAATTTAATGTTCTTTTACTTTGATTGATACCATTTTTCCATTTGGATGCATACTGAGGTCTGAGTGTATTCCGCAGCATGTGGAGCCAAATATTCCTCAGGCACCAGTTTTGAATTTCCAATCCCAAAAAGGCCTGCTTCGGCTTGTTTCAAGCAATACGCGTATTTTGTTCATCAATCGAGCCAGGTAAAGGACGAGTTGATTCGGGCCATGAAGGAGTCCAATTCTTCAATGCGGCTGGACAGCTTGGTTCTGATGAGGCAGGGCTGTTTCGGCACTGGAGGTGCTTGAGGCTGTCAGCATACTGCATACATTTGTCATATTTTACCATGTTTCATTCGTTGAGTTGCTGAAGCTGTGTTCAGCTCATGTTAACCGAATCCATCTAAATTGACCCATGACGCCCAAAGTTCCCGCAGATGAATTCAATGAACGCCGCTTAAAATGCGGGTTGGAATTCAATAACATTTTAGGATAATAGCTTTGTTGATGACTCTTTGTTGCTACAAAGCAATCCAACACTCTGTGACCGATTGTGACCGATTGCCGATTGAAAACAAATCAGTGCTTCCCAGCTTCCCACTTGCCCCTGACTCATTGATGTTGACGTAGCGCGGCATAGAAGTTGAAACAACAAGTTGTTTTTTCCCGAATGCGTAGCAAGGGTTCCCGTTTCACTCTGGGGGTCTGGGGGTTGAGGGTGTGTTCGCTCGACGTTGCCCAACCGTCTGCAACCGCTCGCAACCGTCCGCAACCGTCCGAAACCGTCCGCGCGATCCCGGTATGGCCGTGCCTATGGTAAGCTTGGCAAAAGGGGTCGCTTTTGGAGGTTTCACATGTGGCGTTGCTTTGTTTCGCGTGGCAGACGTGGCACTTCGTGACATTCAGACACATTTGGTAACGTGTTGAAAGTCGTTTTGTGTGGCAGGCGCAATACTTTAGTGTCGTTTTCAGAAGATGGGGTGCATTTTTCGTGGCAAGCACAGCACTTTGGACACGTCCATCGTCATTTTGCGTGGCAGGCGCAGCACTTTAGATGTGTCGTGTTGCCTGTTTTTTGCGAATCGCATTGTCAGGGCTGCGTCAAGTGGCGACAAGGTGCAAGTTCCGTGGCAGGCGTGGCATTTTGTGAGATGTGCTGAGACTTGAGAAGAATTTTCAGGCTCTAAGGAAAAACTCGTAGGAAAACGTAGAGTTCGAAGCTACAAAGTAGGAAAATTGGAGGAAGTCTCGCACGAAATGCTCGTTTTGATGCTCCCACGTGTCTCGTCTCGAGTCCCTGGTTTTCCTGTGGCCTCGCCGTGTCTATGAGGGAAGCTGCAAAACCTCTCCTTTCAGAAGGTTTCCAAGCAGGTTGTCATGTCGTTTTGTGTGGCAGGCGTGGCACTTCGTGACATTTAGACGTGTTTGATAGCGTGTTGAAAGTCGTTTTATGTGGCAGGCGCAATACTTTAGTGTCCTTTTCAGAAGATGAGGTGCATTTTTCGTGGCAAGCGCAGCACTTTGGACGTGTCCATCGACACTCCACCCTTTAAACTTCACACGCCACACTTTACATTCCCCACTTTACAATCTACACTTTACACTCTATACAGTCTATACACTTTACACTCCACACTCTACACTCCACACTGTATACTCCACACTCCACACTCCACACTCTACACTTTACACTCCACACTCCACACTTTACAATTTACACTTTGCACTCTACACTCTACACTTTATGCTCCACACTCCACACTCTCTAGTCTTTACACTCCACACTCTCTAGTCTTTGAACTCCACACTTTACACTTTATGCTCCACACTTTACACCCCACACTTTACAATTTACACTTTACACTCCACACTTTACACTCCACACTCCACACTTTACAATTTACACTTTACACTCCACACTCTACACTCTACACTTTACACTTTACACTCCACACTCTACACTCCGCACTCCGCACTCTCTACACTTTACACTCCACACTTTACACTCCACACTCCACACTTTACAATTTACACTTTACAATCCACACTTTACACTCCACACTTTACACTCGAGACTCCACACTCCAGACTCGACACTTTACACTCCACACTCTACATTTTACACTCTACGCTTTACAATTTACAAATCACACTTTACATTCCACACTCCACACTCTACACTCCACACTTTACACTTTACACTCCACACTTTACACTCCACACTATACACTATACACTATACACTTTACACTCCACACTTTACACTTTTCACTCTAAACTTTACACTCTACACTTTACACTCCACACTCTACACTCCACACTCTACACTCCACACTCCACACTTCACACTCCACACTCCACACTCTGCACTTTATACTCCACGCTCAACACTTTACACTTTACACTCCACACTTTACATTCCAGACTTTACACTCTACACTTTACACTCTACATTTTACACTCCGCACTCTGCACTTAACACTCCACACTCCACACTCTGCACTTTACACTCCACCCACCACGCTCCACACTCTATGCTTTACACTCCACACTCCGCACTTTACAATTTACACTTTACTTTCCCCATCTTTCCACACTTTACACTTTACACTCCACACTCTACACTCCACACTTCACACTCCACACTCTCTACACTTCACACTTCACACTCCACACTCTACATTTTACACTCTACGCTTTGCAATTTACAAGATCACACTTTACACTCCACACTCCACACTCTACACTCCACACTTTACACTCCACACTCCACGCTTTATACTCCACACTCTACACTCCACACTCCACAATTTACAAATCACACTTTACACTCCACACTCTACACTCCACACTTTACACTTTACACTCCACACTCTGCACTGCACACTCTACACTTTACACTCCACACTTTACACTCCACACTCCACACTTTACGCTTTACGCTCCACACTTTACACTCCACATTCCACACTTTACACTTTACACTCCACACTTTACACTCGAGACTCCACACTCTACACTTTACACTCTACACTTTACACTCCACACTCCACACTTTACAATTTACACTCTACACTTTACACTCCACACTTTACACTCCACAGTCCACAGTCTCTACGCTTTACACTCCACACCACAGTCTCTACGCTTTACACTCCACACTTTACACTCCACACTTTACACTTTGCGCTGCACACTCTACACTCTAGCATCCACACTCCACACTCTACGCTCCACACTCCACACTTTGCACTCCACAGTCCGCACTTTGCACTCCACCCTCTTCCACATTCCACAGTCTACAGAGCACTGGTACGGCAACAGGGGAAACATGCACAAAAATGTTCAATTAACTTGTTTTACAAAAAGTGGTCTACGTGACTGCATTCGGGTTCGTGGGCCGCATCTGGTTTTTTTGCCTGGCAGAGGCAGCATGAGAAGACAACTCTGAACTTGAGGGTACGGGGGTGAAGTCCCAAAAAAGGCCATGAACATATGCATGCTAGTTTCTTTCAGGGAGGGATGTCTTTTTGCAAGTCAAGCGCACATTTCTAGAGCGTGTGTACATGTGCCTGTAGCACCATCAAGGTGCCAGCATGGACTTCCCAGGCAATAGCCAAACAGACAGGGGACAACGCAAGACACACGTATGATAGGATTGCTGTACAAGCATCACAACGCATCACTATACTGTACAATACTACGTGCTACACTTGTTAAAAGACTTTTCGAGACCTTACGAAGCATTTTTGAACTTCTACGTATTTTTCCTACTTTTGAGTCTTTTGAGTGTGGGTTTTCGAATGCAGCTTTGTTTTGCCCGTTCAGATTGTGCATTCTTGACAACAAGCCGAGAACAAGTCTATACATTGGAACAAGACGGCATAGCGGCATGTTTTCCATGTGCACACACATCAATAGATGGTGCTGTGCTGGTTTCGAGTCGCTACAAACTAACAGCACAGTCTCAAGTTGAATAGAGTGTTCTTTTTTGTAGTACATTGTCAGGCATCTAAAAACATATTGAGTGGTAAGCGTGTGTACATTATTTGTGGATCCAGTATGGTAGTTGTCCTGGTCGTTGTCATCGTCGTCATCATCGTCGTCATCGTCGTGGTCATGGTCGCGGTTGCGGACGTGGTTCTGGTTCTAGTTGTTGCTGCTGCTGCTGCTGTTGTTGTTGTTGTTGCTGTTGGAACATGGTCTGCACCATGTGAGGCACCTAGCTGAAAACTTTGTTCAAGCCACTATGTACCAGCAGCTTGCCACAGAGCTATGTCTGCCACCAAGAGACTTTGAAACATGCGGAGTCAAGGCTTGGCATAGCTCTGGTGGACAGTGATAGTGATGGTGGTGCAACCCTGCCTTGCAACCCTGCCTTGAAGCGAGCAGCGCGGCTTCCTGTCTGAGGCCCTTTGTTTCTTTCTTGCTGTTCTGACACCTACTACAAGTCCATTGCGCAGGCGGGGGTAATCTTCGCACAAACGAGCTGCATGTTTCCTTCCAACAGCTGTGCATGTAGCTGGGATTAGCTTGGCGAGGGGTCCCGACTACAATGGATTTGGGGGTGCTGTGGGGCAGCTCCGGTTCAGGTTCTGAAAGGTTGCAGGCTTCTGGAAGTTACGAAAGAGTATATATAGGTCTAATTATTAGACGGTCTAATCTAAGTTCACTGTTAGGTGTTCCGGTTAGGGAACTTGCTGCTGCTCGCAGCTCTCGTTCTTGGACCCACCGCTATCTCTCCTTTCCGGTGGTCTGAAGTGTGTTGTTCAAGGGGATGCAGCGAATAATGTTGCTCTGTCAGAGAGCCGTTTTGCCCTGGAGCTTGCCATGGATTGAAGAATTTGAGAATTCTTTTGCATTACCTCCATCCTACAGATCGTACTCCTTGATTGTAGTGTTGAAGCCAGTTCAACTTGAAGGCACTTCGTGCAATCGGCGCCTATGTTTACACGCTCAGGCATGATTTGAGACAGGACTGCAATTGACCCTGTCACAGACTGGGAGACACAGGCAGACACACTCCTATAGTTCTGGCCCTTTGTTTCTGAGAGGCCGACTCCTGAGCAAACAAGCACAGAGCTCAAGGAGATGATACCTGTCTTCGAGGCGCCATGTTTTCAGGTGCTATTTTTGAATGAACTTCAAAAGGCTGCAGCCAAGAGCGCCCATTATCCATCATGTAGAAAAGATTTGATTAAAGACAAACATCTTGTGGGAAAGTGTGAGAAAGTCCTCAGAAACCCTCCAAAGTTTGCTGAAACTTCTGGATGATTTACACCTCGAGCGTCATGGAGCTGCGCAGGTGCTGAAAGCGAAGCTTCTTGCCACTGACATTGACCAGGAGGCCGAAGCCAATGCCCAGATACTTCCCTCGGCTGCAGTGTGCATGACGTACGCATATGAATATGGAATTATATATATTATATTATATATAGATGTAACATATAATTCATACATGTGTTCAGGCAACACAAGATAATATAAATTATGTATCATTTGTATATATACATTCATACATACATACGTACATACAATATATATATACATACTGTATATATGGTCTCGTGTTCCGTGTTCCTACCCCCCCAATGATATGGGGCCTCAGGTAGCACTCCCTTCCATTCTATTTGCAAGCTATTGGCAGCATTTCTGAGATCCAGCCTCGTATTTGCTAGGTCTTTGCAGCATTTCTGACTACCGGCCTCGCAATTACTAGGTACATGCTACGTTTTAGACACGTAGCACACATAATCCCTCAAAGTACCTACGTGCTAACTATAGTCATATATACATATGCTATGATTCTACTTCCTATTTACTACCTGTGTACTCTCACAACACTACATGTGACTACCGGTACCTACGCAATTACTAGGTACATGCTACGTTTTAGACACGTAGCACACATAATCCCTCAAAGTACCTACGTGCTAACTATAGTCATATATACATATGCTATGATTCTACTTCCTATTTACTACCTGTGTACTCTCACAACACTACATGTGTCTAACATATACCGTACCTACCATACATTCCAATGATACCATCCATACCATACATACCATACGAACTTTGACCACGCATACCATACCTATCATACATACATACCACACATACCATACATATGAAACATAATTACCACACCTACCATACATACAATACCAAACATACATGCCATACATACCATACCTACCTTAAATTCCATACCCATCATAGCCATACATACCATACAGGCCATACATACTGTCAAATCAAACATACCACACTCAACAGGCTTACATACCATACCTACCATCCATACAATACCAACCATGCATGCGATACATACCATACCTACCATACATACCATACATTCCAAACATGCCATACCAGGCCAACCACACACACACACACCATACATACCGTCATATCAAACATACCATACCCAACATACTTACATACCACCCCTACCATCCATACAATACCAACCATACCAATCATACATGCCATACATACCATACCTGCCATACATACACAAACCATACATTCCAAACAAACCATACATACCACACCAACCATACATGCCAAACATACCATACATATCAAACATACCGTACATGAGATAATTACATACCATACTCACCATAGTCACCATACCCGCGATGCCATATATTGTCATACATACATTGCACCCCCCCGCACCACACACCCCGCACCACACCCCCCCCGCCACACCACAGGGCGGAGGGGGACACTACCACACCCCCACCACACCGTGACCATGGCCGGGGGGGTGAGGTAGGAATCCCCAGTATTTAGGGTCCCTGGATCTAAGCTAGAAAACTATGAGCACTTGTGGTCAACAGTCGGAGCGCAGCACCTTTCTGTAGCTATGCTAGCAAGTCTTGAGCCTTGAGCCACGGTGTGGCGCAGTGGATGATGTAAATTAAAGTGAGCATGTCACATGGTATGCAAACTGTAAATGCATTGTGTAGACACGTCCCCAAAAGTAGGTTACAAAACAGACGCAGATTTTCTTCGTGTCGTAACATGCAGCAAAATTTTTGCCCTTGCAGAAGAACCGCTCAGCTTATGCTCTGCTGTGAAGCGTGTCTGTAGACACACGAAAAAGCTGCTACTGGCCGTGAATTCGGCTCGTATTCCTTTCAAAAATGCCGCTTTGTTATTTTGGTTTCGCGCCGTGAATCGGCTAATATTCAAAGTCCCATACCGAATGTGTATCGATAAAGATGCAATTCATTTTGTCTTCTCTGCCATGTCGGTTGGTTGAAGTATATTGAGTCTTCTGGGAATTGCGGCACCATGCCGATCCATGTGCCGTCTGCATTTCTATGCCAACGCTCATAAGGCAACTGATAGCCAGGCACGTACTCTACGGAAGAGTTGCGCTGGTTGTATCTGTAATATGGTTGCTGGTAGTACTTAGTAACCCTGACCGTGATGTCGGTTCTGATAGGGTTCGCGAGGAGGCTGCTGGCCGTATTGCTGTTGATAACCTTGATTCAGCCAGGCGGCTCCTGTACCTTGAGTTGGTTGGCGATACTGTTGTTGCTGGCGGCCAGTGTTGTTCCAATGCGCTCCTCTGGAGTGGCCCTCGCCAGTACGGCTTCTGGTTCTTTTTCCTTGTGGTGTTGCTGATCGCTGACGGAATATGACATGCCAATTGCACTAGATGATTCGACATTCCACAAAGTTACTGGTGAACCATCAATCAACCTTGGCGCAGAGAATGATGCAGTGTTTCTACAGGTCTTCTGGTCTTGAGACAGTAAACACCATTGAGAATCATCGATGACTAAGTCATTGTAATCCAGTGTCAGGAATGGTATAATCTGTATCTTCTTCAGGTTCTTTTTCTTCTTCTTGTTCCTGTTGATCTGGAGAGTCCGGTTGCGGACCATTCTCAGGCATAGGTTCATGATTGAAGGGTTCATCTCCATCGAGCGGAAGTGTCGGTGGACCATGATGCCCTGATGGACCTGCATCTGGATCAGGCTCGTCATCATCAAAGTCATCGGGTACAGCAACGTCCTTGGGGTTTCTTAGGCGATTTCTTCGCATTAGAAACAGTAGGTGCGACTACAACGGGTTGTTTGGTCGCGTTTGGTGTAACTGATGGCTGTGTATCACCCCCCAAATGGTTGTTAGGATGAAATTGGGATGAAGACGACGCAGGCATTTGCGATGGTCGAGCCTTAGTAGCAAGTGGTATCGGTGGATCATCAGGTGGTCTCTTGGTGCTATCTGTCCTGGGTGTATCTTCAAAGTTCGATGGAATAATTGTGTTTGGTACTATCACCGTGTCTGATGCGACAGGTATGGCATTGGCTCCGGAAAACGGTGGTTGTGGATGATCTGGTGGTGATGATGGATAAGGTGGTAAATTTGGTGGGTCATCTTGTGGTGAATGCATGTCCTCATCTGGTGAGTCATCGTTTGGTCTTGGTGGTGATTGAAATGGTGTGTGAAACGGATCATCATCATTAGGTGGATAGCCGGGTTTCGGCGTATGTGGATCACCAGGCATAGGTTCATCTGGTGGATGTGGTGATGATGGTGGTGTGTCAAATGTTTCAGGATTGTTATTTTTCTGTTGGTCATTGTCAGGCCGTGGTGGAAGACCCGGTGTTCTGTTCGGGTATGTTGTTGTCGTTGTGATCAGATGGTATCTTGCCATCGTTATTCCAAAAAAATGGCGGACCATTGACTTGCAATTAATTGTGAGATATCTCTTGGATGAAGTCGGAGAAAAGCATGTGACATATCCTTTTTCCTCCAAAGAATGAGTACGCCATTTGTGTGAGTGTAGTTGACACGTAATGCTTGAAAGCTACCGCGAAACATTGCTGCATTGTCAAACGCGAAGTACTTAAGTACACCTGCCTGACGTGTGAAACATCTTGTTGTGCTTTGATCTGAACAGGGTGATAGACATTATCTGATGGTAGAGCATTTATGCGATTGAGTAAGCATCGCGTGTAATAGTCACGCACTGGAAGACCTTGTTCGTACAAGTCAGCTGAGAAAAAACAAGAGAGCGGGTAGTCATGGGGGGCGAGGTTGTGAAAGTCCTGATTTTGTTATATTAGTCACTAGATTCATAATTACATCAGTCATTACATTAATCATTATATTAATCATTATAATATTCATTATATAAGTCATTAAATGAATCATTAGATTAATCATTTTATTTATCATGATATTAATCACTATATTAGTCATTAAATGTATGTAAAATCATTATAATAGTCATTTTATAAACCATTCAAAGAATCATTCAATTTAATCACTTTTTTTTCATTCTATGAGCCAATTATATCATTCTATTTATCATTCATTAATCATGGTATTAATCGTTATATTAGCCAATAAATGAAAAATAATATCAGCCATTACATAAATCATTATATTAATCATTTTATTAGTCATTAAATGAATCTTGAAATGAATCATTATATTTATCATGAAATGAATCATTATTTTAGTCATTGTACAGAAAGTTATACTAACCATTAAATTAATCATTAAATGAATCATCATATTTTAAAAATCATTATATTAGTCATTTTATTAATCATTATATTAGTCATTCAAATTAATCATTATATTATTCATTATACTAGTCATTGAATTAATCTTTTTACTATTCATGATATTCATCATTTTATTCATCATGATATGAATCATATTAGTCATTGTATTAGTCATTTTACTAATCATTTTAATATTCATTATACTAGTCATTGTATTTGTCATTAAATTAATCATGTTATTAATCATGAAAAATACATATATAATCATTATATTAGTCATTATATTAGCCATTTTATTTATTGTTACAATAATCATTAAATTAATCATGATAATAACCATGAAATTAATCATTATATCAATCATGAAAATCATCATTATATTATATTAATCATTATATTAATCATTTCTTTAATCATTCAATTAATCAATATATAAATATTATCATGATATTAGTCATTATATAAGTCATTAAATTACTCATAGTATAAATTAATTATGTTCATCATTATAATAGTCACTATTTTAATCATTTCATTAATCACTATATATTCAACATTATATTTATCATAAAATTAATCATTACATTACGCGTTGTTTACATTTATATATTCATTGAATTAATCATTATATAAATCATTATATAAACCATTAATTTAATCATTATATCAATCATCATAATCACAACTATATTAATCATGAAGTTAATCATTTTATATTAATCATCACATTAATCATAATAGTACTCATTAAATTTGTCATTATATAAGTCATTAAATGACCCATTAGATAAATCATTATATTTAT